CATATTACCTGCCGCCACCCCACCTCCAAATTCCGGTCATGTTGGTTTGGGTCTCCTCTGAACGTTCGAAGTCTTGGCACCAATCTAACCTTCTGATCACCCGGGTGTAAATGTAGATCTGTCCACAGGTGGCGCTCCTTCATCGTGTGTCAGAACCTTGTAGCTGGAATGTGATTTCTGACACCTGGCCTTGGGCTGTCGTTGCAGGAGAGCGACCTCCTGACCTTCAACATCTCGGCGCATCACTCGTGGTGGAGCGAACACGGGCCGGGCTGCGTGCGGAAGGAGATGCCGGCGGCCAGCGTGCGCGGTCCAGACAGCCAGGCCTACATCTCCGTCATGGGCTGTCTATTGGAGTACCAGTACATCGAGGTCCTGCACAGTGCCTTCCAGATCCTCGTCGCAGTGAGTACCGCCGCTGGGAATGCGGAATCTGCGAGCCCGTCGGCAGGGCGACCTGGCACGCATACCGCCACACGCATTAACCGCATCGATCCCATCCCAATTACGGCCGCGTTGCGAGCATTTCAAGATCGTGGCTGTGACAGCGACGGCTCTCTCGGGGACACCACAGAGTTGCGAGGTTACTGCTCAGCCAGGGATACTAACGTGCTTCAACCGGAAACCGAGCAAGACAGACCGGCAGGTTAAGGGGACCAGCCGTGATAATTAACCCAGCAGAAATGAACTGTATTAATATCCACTCACTTACTCGTATGGCTCATGCTAGATTAGGGAATATTGTATAAATGTAAAATCGTGAGATTTATTAAACCTTTTATTCTTTTGCGTTGCCTGGGACCCAATAGGATTTGTGAGATTATAGGGGGTGGGGGTGGAATCGGAGCCCCATGTAAACAAGCGGTCCCTGGTTTATTTAATTGATGGAGGGGTCAATTTTGCAACTGCCGTCTCTTGGAGTGGGTTGTGAATGAGGTCAGTTCCCCCCCCCCCTACCTGTAATTGTGTTTCTCCCATTATAAGCGTGTTTTATCTTGACTTTACTGACGTCGTTCCAGACGTAAAAGCCCGCAGAGGAGATGAGTGTAAGTCTCGCACCGAACCGCAAGCGCTGCCAGGCATTGTAAATGTTAATATCCCTGTGACGCCCCCTTAAGTGAGTGAGTCTTATCTCCAAGTTGCCCCTGGTGTCGGGGTGTGTGTATGTGTGTGTGGGGGGGGGGGGGGTCAGGAGGGGTTTAATGTGCAGTATGGCCTCATTCGGCTCCGCATTCGTGTCTTTGCATGCCTCTGTGTTACTGGGCGGATTAGTCACCAGGTCGTTAATCCAGTTAGTCCCCACCAGCGGCGGAACGCACCATTCTAACCCCCTGGCCTCGTGTATTTCCTTAAACACCCCTCCCAACTTCTCAGTGGCGCTGTCCGCCCGCATTCTCACCATCACTGTGGGAACCGCTCTGAACGGACACAAAAAAGACACTATCAGAATAGAAGTGTGTGGTTTTTTTCCTCCATTTAGCATTTTTCTTTTACAAAAGGGTGTTTTTTTTGGTGGGGGGGGGGTGCATTTGTCCCCAAATTCTAGCCGGCTCTCTGCTATGACTAAGCCCATTAAAACTTTTTTTTGCTTAGAGCAAAATGCTCAAGAAGTAAAAGGAGGATTTTGTGCCCCCCCCTCCATGAAAGAGGCTGCTTTTGTGCCGAGGGGGAGCGTGTTCGGATGGCGGTAATGGAGACGGCCCATTCATCACCCCGCCACCCCTACAGGCTCACTGAGTTACTGTATTTGAATGTAAGTCAGAAAACCGGGGGTGAATGGATCCAGTTTATAAGTCACAGCCTCTCAGAGCCTCACGCTGCGGCCACTGGGGGGCGTCGGTGACAGGCCGTGACTGCGGCTGACAGTGCAAAGTGGGGGCGGGCCCCAGAGGGGAGTCCGGAACATTCCCCAGGACATTAATGAGGGCCAGTGAACTCCCCCCTTCCCAGACCGGATCGCTCTCCAACTTATTGTGGATCATTACAGGAAAGTTAAAACTGGACCAAAAGGCTGGGATTTCGGAGCCGATGCAGAGACCTGGAATCTGCTCCGGG